ATGAAAGTCTTCTACTTTAAAACACTGAAAAAATTCAGATATTTGAAGATGGAAAGACCTCTTTTATTAAGGATTGGCAAAATTAATATTGTGAAAATAGTTACATTACTGAAAGCCATCTACAGATTTAGTGTATTAACCACCAAAATTTGAATGACATTCTTCGTAGAACTATAAAGAATGATTCTAAAATTCATATAGAAGCACAAAAGATCCCAAATAGTGAAAGCAATCCTGAGGCAAAAGAATAATGCTGTAAGTATCACAATACCTGATTTCTACACTGTAGAATCATAGTAACAGAATAGGATCTCACTAGCTTAAAAACAGCCATGTAGACCAACCACCATACCACCCTGAATGTGCCCCATATTCTCTGATTTGGAAGTTAAGCAAGGGTGAGCCTGGTTGGAATGAAAATAGTGGAGAAATGAGCCCATGCAGCTACAGCCACCTAATTTTCAAAAAAAGGTGAAAAATATCATACATTGGAAAAGAGATGGCTTCTTCAATAAGTATGTATATGCATGCACATGTCAATGTCCTTGGAGGTCAGAAGACAGCATTCGATCTCCTGGAGCTGGAATCACTTACAATTGTAGACTACCTGATGTAGTGTTGGGAACTGAAATCCAATCCTTTGCTAGGGCAGCAAGACTTGTTAACTGCTGACTCATCTCTTTATCCCTACTTTGTCTGTTTTTGTGTTAAATTGTTGATATAAAACTCTTTATGAGTTATATCATTTGCAATTTTTTTCTGTTGCTTGTTTTTTACCCTGTTATTAGAGCCCTTTGATGCACAAAAGTTATTTTTTATGTGCATATGTGTGTGTGCATCGTGTGTGTGTGTGTGTGTGTGTGTGTGTGTGTGTGTGTGTGTGGTGAGAGAGCTAGAGGCTAAAAGTTGGCTGTCTTTCTCAGTTGCTTTCCACCTTGTTTTTTTTGGTCTCCCTGTTGCCTCAGATGGCCTGGAACTATGTAGACCAGGTTGGCCTTGAACTCACAGAGATCCACCTGCCTCTGCCTTCTGAATGCTGGGATTAAAGGTGTGTGCCACCATGCCTGGCTTCCACCTTGTTTTCTAAAAAGATTTTATTATTTTTATTTTATGTGTATGAGTGTATTGTTTGCATGTATGTAAGTGTACCCGTGCCGTGCAAAGCCCAGAGAGCTCAGAAGAGGGTGTCAGATCACCTGGAACTGACGTTATGGACAGTTGTTAGCTGCCATGTAGGTACTGGGAATCAAACCCAGGGCCTCTGCAAGAGCAGCTAGTGCTCTTAACTGCTGAGCCATCTGTCTGGCTCCTCTCCACCTTTTTTTTCTAAAATAAGAAATTATTTGAGAGAGAAAGAGAGAGAGAGAGAGAGAGAGAGAGAGAGAGAGAGAGAGAGAGAAGGAATATGTTTGCTTTGGTGCATGTGTGGAGGTCAAAGACAACTTTTGGGAGTTGGTTCTTTCCTTTCATTGTTATGCGAATTCCATGGATTGAGCTGAGGTTGTCTGGTTTCTACAACAAATACTTTACCTGCTGAGGCATCTTACTGGCCCTCCACCTTGTTTTGAGACAGGTCTCTAAATGAACCTAGAACTCATTGATTTGGCTAGGCTGACCTACCATAAAGTTCCAAGAATCTGCCTGTCTTTGCCTTTTCAGTGCTGGGGGTACAGGCATACATGTCCATGCTCAGCTTTTTATGTGGGCCTTGGGGAATCACTTGACTGAGTCATATCACCAGCATTAAAGTTTTAAATTTAAGTATTTTATTTATCTTTGTTACCTACTTCTGTTCTATCTAAGAAATCATCACCAAATCCATTATATGTATTTCCCTCTGTTCTCTCTTTTATTTTTTGGTCTTTTTTGAGACAGGGTTTCCCTGCAGCCCCAGGTGGCTTGGAACTCACTGTGTAGACCAGGTTGGCCTTGAACTCACAGAGATCTGCCTGCCTCGCCCAGCTTTATCTTTTAAGAATTTTATGGTTTTCTGTAAGTTTTTGATCCACTGTGAGTAAATGAAGGACAGAAGGTAAGGAATCAAATTCTTACCTTTTGTATGTAGTCCTTTCGTGTGCTCAGCACTTGTTGAAAAGACCATCCCTTTCCTTTGAATGGTCTCTGCACTATTTTAAAAAATCTTTTGACCATATATTTGAGGGTTTATTACTAGGTTTTGTTTTTAATTCCTTTGATCTATATTCATCTTCATTCTGGCACCACAATCTTTTCTTTATACATTAATTTTTTAATTTATTTTATGTATATGGGAATTTTGCCTGCATGTAAGTACATCATGGGTGTACAGTGCCTGCTGAGGCCAGAGAGGGTGTCAGATCCCTTGGAACTGGCATTACAGATGGTTGCTAGCTACCATGTGGGTGCTAGGGACTGAACCCAGGTCCTTTGCAAGAATACCCAGGGCTCTTAACAGCTGAGCCATCTCTCCAACCCCTTTGTACATTTTTATAACTTTAAAATATATTTTCTTAGTTCCTTTTATGATGTGTTATTTTAATTCATTTTTATACTAATATACAAACATATAAAAGTGGTTTATATTGAAGAGATAGTATATAATGTTCAAAGCATGGATGCATTGTATAATGCTTAAATCAGATTAAACATATTTATCTTCTTAATATTTTCAGTATTTCTTTGTAGTGGAAACTGGACTTAAAGTATCCCTACTTCATTTTTTTTATAAGCGATAGAAACCAGAAGTTTTTCATTCTTTTTTTAAAAATTTTCATTTTTATTTTATGTGTATGAGTGTATTGCTTGCATGTATGCACCCATGTCTTGTAATGCCCAAGGAGGTCAGAAGAGGGTGTCGGATCCCCTGGGGCAGGAGTTACCAACAGTTGTTAATACCGTGTGGGTGCTGGGAATTGAATCCAGGTCCTCTGCAAGAGCAATCAGTGCTCTTAACTGCTGAGCTCTATAGCCCCCAAACCAGCAGTTTTTCAATATTTCCATTTTTCCTTATTTGCCAGGAACAATCTTTAAATATGCATGAGTCTTCCATGTACATTTCAGTATGAGATAAACAAGTTCTGCAGAACACTTGTCGATAATTTGATGAAATTTTATTATTTTTGTTTGGCTTTGAAAATAATTGAGTCCTCATTTTTATTTTTTGTTCCTTGTAAATATTTAATGCTTAGTACTTGGTCATGAAAAGCTGTATTGTAGTATCTTCCTTCTATGCCCATTTACTTAATGATTATAGCTTGCAGGTGAAGGCTCATTTGTTCAATGTGTATTGTGATAGAAAAACCAAGAACAGTTATGCCATTTATTTCCTGAGGATGAGAAAACAACAAGAAAGGGACTGGAGAAATGGCTTAGCAGTTAAGAGCACATATTGCTTTTGCAGAGGACCCAAGTTTGGTTCCTAGTACCCTCATAGGCCTGCAACTCCAGATCTGGTGGCTCCAACACATCTGAACAATGAGGGAACCAGCATTCATGTGTACATACTCACACAGAAACACACATAGATACATAACTAAAATTTTTATAAAAAGAGAAAGCAGTAAGAAAAATGACTATTTGATCTTTTAAAATCATTTAGATCACATTGTAGCCTTATTTATAGTGTTTAGTGATGTTTTGCTGTGAAGATAAGAAAATGAACTTTCTTTTAGGCTTTTATCTTTTTTCTTTTTCTTTTTGAAACAGGATCTCCCTATAGTGCCCAGCTGTCCTGGCACTCACTATGTAGATCAGGCTGGCCTTGAACTCAGAGATTCACCTGTGTTTGCCTCCTGAGTGCTGGGGATTAAAGGTGTGTACCACCATCCCCTGCTCTAGGCTTTTATCTTTAAAAATGCAACTTGCTAGCAGAGTGGTACTTAAATGCTCTTACCCTGAAGGTTGATTGTTAAGACTTGAAGATTGACTAGAATGAGTTGACATAATTAAAACTTTATTTGTAAGTAAAACTGAGTCTTGATTTTGAATATTTGAGATTTTAGTTTCTAATTTAAAAGTAAAGAATATTATATCAAAGTCAAAATAAAGAGAATGGGTAGTGTAATCATCGCAGCAATTTTCTTTTACCATGGTACTGCATTGGTAATATTTGGATACTGTAGCCTTGTAATTGATAATACATTTAAAAATATTCTCTATCATTTCTCTAATAGGTTATGTTACTGGTCTTGTAGTTCACTTTAGTTACCTTGGTTGTGAATACCTTATGTTTTAAAATTTTACAAACTATTTAAAATTTTTGTTTAAACACAGAGGATAATATGACAATACATTTACTTAACCTTAACTAGTATTTTCTTTATATATACCAAATTTGTCTATATTATTAAAAGAAATGTAATGGAAAGTAAAGTTTCTATTTATATTGTACTTTCTGAGTCTTTTACCCTCCTCCTTTTGAATAATCCACTGTCTTAAATAGGTTTGAATTCTTCTAGATCTAAGTTTTATATTTTATTACAAAAGTATGGCCTTTTGTATCAGGATAATTTTATTAAAAGGGTTATGGAAAAATCTGTTTCCACTCAGCATTTCATTTTGAATATTTTGCTTATACATTAGGTTTTAAATTATTTCTACAGATAAAATTTTTAGCATATTCCAGACGTTATTTTGTTCTTAAGTTTTGTTATATGAACCATATTTTAAATATATTAACAGTTAGCTTTGGTTTATAATTATTTTATTACACACTGGTTGATTATCAGGGTATTTGTGTTGTTGAAATTTTACTGTTTAAACTTCTTTGGCTTATTTAATTTACATAAGTTCATTCTTTTGCTCATTTTACATAGTGTTAATATCTTGTCTTTTAAAGTTAGAACAAGGATGAAAACTCAAATCTGAGTTCAGTAGTTTTTTTTCATTGCCTATTAGAACAGTATTTCATGTGAAAAAATATTTTTAGCCTATTGGATTTTTTTTTCTGAATACATGCCAGTTGTTTTCTAAATTCATTTGACCCTTATTAGAAATGAGTGTAATGCAATTCTGTTTTTCAGGGTTTCAAAACCAAGTAAGACAAGAGATAACATTTCTGTAAAGCAGTCTGCATATGTGAAAGAAAAGCAAAGAGGTGATGATGATGGTGTTTCTCTTGTGATGTCTGATATTCAGCCTAAAGGTTTGTGATTGCTAGAAAACTGTTAGAATTAATATTTCACTTACTATATTTGCAACATTTTTTTTTGTCTTTTTGAGACAGGGTCTCCTTGTAGCCCTAGCTGTCCTGGAACTCATTATGTAGACCAGGCTGGCCTCAAACTCACAAAGATCCTCCTGCCTCTGCCTCCCAAGTGCTGGGATCAAAGACGTGCGCACCACGCCTGGCTATTTGCAACAATTTTTATGTTGTAAATATTTCATCTTAACATCGAAAGGATACATGAAAGTAAAAGGAAATTATTTAGTATTGCAGAGCATCCATTTCTATACCTTAGTATGTATTTCTTGATTTATTTGCCAATTGCAAAAGATAAAATTTTGTTTTTTTTCTTGTGTGTGTGTGGGGTGAAAGTATGCCTATAAAGTTATGTTAGGTTTGTTATTCAAAATGTTGTTTCCATGGATATTGATGTCACTGCTACCTGGATTTTTATTAGCACCCTACCGTCTATACTCTTACTATAAAATGTCTACAGTCTTGGTATGAAATACATTCTTTATTGATTAGAACTCTTTTAACTCTCAAAGGATGCCTGACTAAACCAATATTAACAAATTTGAAGGCAAATATATCCTGGACTTACATAAACATTCTTTGTAGGTCTCCTTATGTGTATAATTAATGATCTTATGACCTTTTCCCTTCTCTTTTAAGACTTAAAAAACTTTTTTTTTTTTTTTTTTGGTCTTTTTGAGACAGGGTCTTCCTGTAGCCCCAGTTGTCCTGGCACTCCCTATGTAGACCAGGCTGGCCTTGATCTCAAAGAGATCCACGTGCCTCTGCCACTTGAGTACTAGAATTAAAGACATGCACTACCATGCTAGTTAAGACGTAAAAACTTTTACCATAATTTATTAAAAACCAATTTAGTATCTTAGCGATTTGTGAAACTAACACCTGTATAGACCTCTTAGATAACTGATAGCATAGAACAAGTTGAAGTATTTTATTTTCTGTATTTTTTTTATTTATTTAGTTAGTTTTTTTGAGATAGGGTTTCCTTGTAGTACAGCTGGTGTGGAACTTCTTATGTAGATCAGGCTGGTCTCCATCTCACAGAGATCCAACTTCTGCTTCTGGAGTGGTGGGATTAAAGGCATGTGTTACTATGCCTGGTTTATTTATTTTTATCTTATGTGTATGAGTGGTTTTGCCTGCATGTATGTAAATGTACCACATGTGTATAATGCCCATGGAAGCTGGAAGAGAGTGTTGGATCCTTTGGAACTGGTGTTACCAACAGTTAGCCACTATGCTGGGAATCCAACCTAAGTCCTCAGCTAGAGCAGCCAATGCTCTTATCTACCGAACCATCTCTTGAGCACCAACTTGTTTAATTCTTAAGGGAGGAAATAATGATAGGTTTCTACTCAGAGGTAAATGACGTTCTTTCCTTTGGGAGGCAACAGATTTCCCTTAATGGGTTTTGAATGCTACTGAAAACACAGTTTAGGAAAGTGTATTTAAGGGCTCTGAACATGAGATGTTGCAAAAGCCAGTGAGAGACAGTTGATGGTGCTGAAAACCCAAATTGGAGTCAGTTCAGCATTCCCAAGTCTGAGGCTGAGAGAACTTCAGTGCTCACCATCCTGCCACCCTCACTCTTTCCCAGATTAGCATGGGATTAGTACTAAGGGAAGAAGGAGAAACATGGTACAATTTTTTGATGGGAGCAACAGACCCAAAGCAGCAGACACTGTGGATACAGAAGTGTGGTGTTTTCAACATTTCCTGTTCCCTCATCACATCATGGAGGATCACAGAAGTTTGTGGTACAACTTGCTGTAGTTTCTTGATGAACCTTAAAATGTAAGCCCAGTCACAGCAGAGAGTGACTGACTCACAGAACACCAGAGACAGGGTTGTAATTTGCAACTCAGGGAAATCAGACAGGGAAGTCTGGCAGAAAGTTTTCTCTGACCACAAAAGGCTCCTGAAGGACACACTTAACTGAATTTGTTTGTATTACTGAGACTAGCAGCCCTCTCCTCCTTCTCTAGAGACTGATTAAAAAAGAAACTACAATACAAGGGGCAGGAGAAATCATACCATTGTGTATATATACACCATATTTTCATTATTCAACTGTTGATGGATAGGTAGGTTGATTTGACTTCCTTAATATACTGTGCATTGAGCAGTAATAGCCATGGATATGAAAGTTTCTTTGTGGTATGAGAAAGAATTCTTTGGATATATGCCCAAGAGTGGTATAGCTGGGCCTATATTTATTTATTTCTATTTATTATTTTTATTTTATGTGTATGCGTATATTACCTGCGCGTGGGTAAGTGCATCTGTGTTGTGCAATGCCCGTAGAGGACAGAAAAGGCTGTTGGATCTCCTGGAACTGGAGTTATAGACAGTTGTTAGCTGTCATGTGGGTGCTGGGATTTGAACTCAGGTCTTCTGCAAGAACAACCAGTGTTCTTAACCATCTCTCCAGCCCCTATTTATTATTTATTACAATTTATTTATTTATTTTTAAAAATTATTTTTACTATTTTTATTTTATGTGTATGAGTATATTGTCTGCATGTGTGTAAGTGCATCTGAGTCAGGCAAAGCCTGCAGAGGTCAGAAGAAGGCGTTGGATCCCCTGGAACTGGAGTTACAGATGGTGCTAGGAATTGAACCTGGTTCCTCTTCAAGAGTGGTCAGTGCTCTTAACTGCTGAGCCATCTCTCCAGCCCCTATTTTTATCTATCTATCTATCTATCTATCTATCTATCTATCTATCTATCTATCTATCTATCTATCATCATCATCAATCATGTATCTATCTATTATTGGTCTTTTTGAGACAGGGTCTCCCTGTAGCCCCAGCTGGCCTGGAACTCACTATATAGACCAGGCTGGCCTTGAACGCACAGAGATCCACCTGCCTCTGCCTCCCGAGTGCTGGGATTAAAGGCATATGCCACCATGCCTGGCTTAATTTTTATTTTTTATTTGTATGAGTGTTTTGCTGTGGTGGCTATACCAGTTTACACTTTTACCATCAGTGAATAAAGCTTCCTCCTTCCCCACATCCTTGACATTATTTGTTTGCATGATGATAGCCATTCTGACTGGGGTTCATTGGAATCTCAGGGTAGTTTTAATTTTCATTTCCCTGATAGCTAAGGATGTTGTAACTCCTTAAAAAATATTTGAGGGGCTGGAGAGATGACTCAGTGGTTAAGAACATTGAATGTTCTTGTAGAAGACCTGTTTTTGAATCCCAGCACTCACATTTCTAGGGGATCTGACATCCTCTTCTGTCCTCCATGGGCATTGCACGACACAGGTGCACTTACCTACATGCAGGCAATACACACATACACATAAAAACATAAATAATAAATAAAATATTAAAAAAATTTGATGTCCATTAAAAAATATTTATATATGTGTATGAGTGTATTTCCTGTGTGTATGTTTTACACCTGTGTTGTGCAATGCCAGGAGAGGTCAGAGGAGGGTGTTAGATACCTTGGAAGTGGAGTTTTAGATGGTTGTTAGCCACCATGTGGGTGCTAGGATTCAAACCTGGGTCCTCTGCAGTCAGTTCTCTTAACCACTGAGCCATCTCTCCAGTCCCCCTGATGTCCATTTTTTAAATGTTAGCATTTGTACCTATATACTTTCATCTTAGGACTGCCATGGCTTTCTCTGAGATTCTGGTAGGTTGTGCTACCATTTTTACTTGATTCTAGAAATTTTAAAAATTCCTTTTGGATCAGCAGAATTAACATTGCTCCAAGTCCTATGTCTGAAGTATCTTTAGCAGTAGGGTCTTACCTTCGAGTTCTGGGAGGCAATCAAGGTCTATGAAAGCAGTCTATATTGTTTTGGGGAATCTTTTGGACTACCCTGACCAACAACTAGAAGGGACATTTTCCTTGCCTAGCACTGTAATTTTTGTTATATAGCCTTCTGCTATACACACACACAGACACAAGCACACACACACACACACACACACACACACAGACACAGACACAGACACAGACACACCCACCCACACATTTCCCTTTGGAGTTTCACACCATGTAAGCATTATCTCTTTTTCCTTTCCCCCTTGTGTAGCTCTCTCTTGCCCCTCCTCAGTTTAAAGTAGCCCTCATTTCCCCTTTGATAATGCCTGTGTTGTACTGTCCACTCTCTGGAGTTCCTTCCCCTCTCCTTCCATGGTCCCTTTCTATTCTCCTGTGATTACTTCAGGATATATACTCACATCCAAGGATTTGGAACTAGGATCCACAAATGAGAGAAAATGTGCTTTGCTTGTTTGACTGAGTCTGGATTACCTCACTTAGTATTAACAGTTCCATTCATTTGCCTGAAAATTTCATTGTTTCATTTTTCTTTACAGCTTAAGAGAGCTCCATTGTATACATGTCTCATATTCTCATCATTCATCAATTGAGGGACATTCAGGTTGTTTGCCTTTCCTAGCTGTTGTGAAAGAGTGGCAACAACCATGGCTGAGCAAGTTCCTCTGTAGTAGGAAACCGAGTCCTATGGGTGTGTGCCAAGGCTATAGCTGGATCATATGGAATGTGTTTTTAGTTTTTTAAAGAATTCTAAACCAAACAACAACCAAACCCAAAAAAGTACTGGGCATGGTGATGCACACCTTTAATCCCAGCACTTGGGAGGCAGAGGCAGGCCTATCTCTGTGAGTTCAAGGCCATCCTGGTGTACATAGTGAGTTCCAGGACAGCTGGGGCTACAGGGAGACCCTGTCTCAAAAAGACAAAAAAAAAAAAAAAAAAAAAAAAAAAAAACAAACCACCAAACGAACCATAACAAAACAAAAACAACCTCAAAAAGCCAGGCATGGTGGCCCATATCTTTAATCTCAGTACTTGGGAGGCAGAAACTGGCCCATCTCTATGAAATCAAGGCCAGTCTGGTCTACATAGTGAGTTCCAGACTCTCTCTCTCTCCTCTCTCTCTCTCTCTCTCTCTCTCTCTCTCTCTCTCTCTCTCTCTCACAAAGAATTCTCCACACTGATTTCTATAGTGGCTGCAGCTGGTTTGCAATCACACCAGCAGTGAATGAGGAATCCCCTTCCTCCACATCCTTGCTGGTATTTGGTGTCATTTGTTTTCTTGATCTTAGCCATTCTGACTGGGGTAAGATGAAATCTTAATTTGCGTTTTCCTAATTACTAAAGATGTTGAGCACTATTTAAGGTATTTCTTAGCCATTTTTATTTCTCCTTTTGAGAGCTCTTTGTTCAGATCTGTAGCCCATTTGTCTTTTACTGTGATTTTTTTTTTTTCGGTCTTTTTGAGACAGGGTCTCCCTGTAGCCCCTGGTGTCCTGGAACTCACCATGTAGACCAGGCTGGCCTTGAATTCACAGTGATACACCTACCTCTGCCTCCCAAGTGCTAGGATCAAAGGCATGCATCACTATACCCAGTTTGTTGTGATATTTTTATTTAGAAATGGTAATTTGATACAGTATTTATTTTAGAAATTATAGCTTTTCTAAATAGTGTTTTGATGATTTGTGGGAAGTTTATTTTCTTGGTAGAAGGGATAGAATATTTTCTTTACTTTTTTTTTTTTTGGTCTTTTTGAGACAGGGTCTCCTTGTAGCCCCAGTTGTCCTGGAACTCACTATGTAGACCAGGCTGGCCTCGAACTCACAAAGATCCACCTGCTTCTGCCTCCCAAGTGCTGGGATTAAAGGCGTGCATCACCACGCCTGGCTCGTACTTTTTTTTTTTTTTAATTGAGTGATAATTGTAAAGTTGAGACCAATCATAATTAAATTAAATGAATTTAAGCTTTGATTAAAGGAGGCTTGCTTTGCTACTTTGATATGTAAACTCTGAGTTCTCATATGATACTGGTTCAGAAAGTAAGACAATTTAAACCTTCAATTAAAACATATGGAAGATATTTTTGTGTAGTATATGTTGTTAACTGAAGTAGGAAACATTTTTAGTGATGATTGGCACAGGCTTCAAAATGATGCTGTTAACTTGAAAAGGAAGTACTTCTCTATAGAATGTCAGATTTATTGAATACTTTGAATTAAAGACTTGATAATTAAAAAGAATAAACAAGCTATCAAGTAAGTTGATTTCTTTGTGAATGGTCATGTGCCATAGACAGCTGGTGACGAAAGATATTTTTGGCTCCTTTTCAAAGAATAGTAATCAATGTTTTACTCTTTTAAGTTTCAGGCCTTTACTTTTAAGTCAAATATATGATGACTAGTTTTTAAAATCACAGTGAATTATATAAACATTTTTAAGACATAGATTTTCATATTTTAATAAGACCTTTTTGAGATATTACTACTAAGTGTATTTATATTAATGGAAAATATGGTTGATTATTTCATTTTTATTACTCTGTAAAAGACTATTTTCTCCCTACATATTTTGTAACATCCTTCACATATGTTGTGTAATATTTACTTTATATAAACAGGTTAATGTAGGATATATGTTATATATCACTCAGTGCCATTGTAGACTTTTGTTTTAATTAGCTTTGGAGGCAGACTCATCTAAAAGGAATTACCTTGAGCTCATCTAAAAGGAATTTTTGTGCATTTTTGTCCATAATTACGGTTTTTCTGTTTTTTTTTTAAAGATTCTAACAGTGGAAATAGAGGTTGTGATTATCTTAAAGAGGGGAGCAGAAACAAGAATGCTTCATATTCTGATTCAAAAATGGAACCCACTCCAATTTCCAGAATGACAAAGAAAAGGGTTAGAAGTAATTTACATGGTTCTCATAAATCTATGTCTTCTTTGGATAAATCAACAGAACATGCAGTAAGTAGAGGTATTTAGGTGTCAATGAAATAGTTTTGTGCTGTGATAAAAATGAGTTCACTGTAGCCAAATAATGTTCTTTGAGCTTTCTGATTTTTCTTTCATTATTTTTTAGTTCTTTTTTGAGACAGCATTTCTCTATATCCCCAGCTGGCCTGGAACTCATTATGTAGACCAGGTTGGCCTTGAACTAACAGAGATCAACCTGCCTCTGCCTCCTGAGTGCTGGGATTAAAGGCCCACCACCATGCTCAGCCTAGTTCTTTTTAAAAAAGACTTATTTTTATTTCATGTGTGTGAGTATGTGCCTTCATATATATGTGTACCCACATGTATGCCTGGTACTGATAGAGACCAGAAGAGAGCATCAGATTTCCTGGAACTGGATTTATAGGTGGTTGTGCACTGTTATGTGGGTACTGGGAGCTGAAATTGAATCCTCTACAAGAGCAGCAAGAACTCTTAACCACTGAACTATCTCTCTAATGTTCATTTTCTAGTTCTTTACAAGTTTTTATTTTTAAAGTTTAAATTGCATTTACTTATTTGTGTTTGTGTGTGTGTGTGTGTGTGCACGCGCACGTGCGTGCACATACATGTGAACATATGCATGTGGCAATCAGAGGGCAATTTGTGGGAGTTGGTTCTCTCCTTCCACCATGTGGGTCTTGGTAATCAAACTCAAGTTGTCAGACTTGGTAGCAAGCACTTTTATCCACTGATCCATCTTGTCAGCCCATTGAGCTTTATTAAAAAAGTTATTTTATATAAAACTTCAATTCATAATGCTATATTGGAGCAAATTCCAAGAATTGTGTATAGTATTGTGTATGACTAAAAGAAAGTATTGTTGCTTTTTACTAGATACCACTTTTATTTTCTTTCTTTTTTCCTCTTTTTATCCAAATCCTATTCACTTTCTCTGTGAAATTACTATCAAATTTTTATCATTAGTATTTACTTACAATTTTAAACCTATTATTATCTGGAACTTAGGGAACTTATTTATAAGTAATTATTATTCTTTGTATTACTTATTTTTGAAGATTTTTTGTATTAAATTTTTGTGCATTTCATACAGAATATCTTAATCATCTTTATACCTCTCCTCCATTCCCCCCTCTTATCCCCACCCTCTGGATTTCATGCATTCTGTCATCTATGTTAAGACCTTTTGAGTCAAGTTTGTGTACCCAAATGTTCCTCAAGTTCATCCACTGGAGTCTAATCATTAGAAGAAACATTAATTTTTGATCACAGTTTCAGAGATACCAGTCCATCATGTTGGGTAGCATGTGGCAGAGCAGAGCAGCTCACTTATGGCATCCAGGAGGTAGATAAAATGCCTGTGCTAGCTTTCTCCTTTTTCTGCGTTTATTCCATCAGTCTTCTATGGGGATGCCCTCATGCACTCAGAGCTGTGCTTTACTAATAATCTCTGAGGTTCTTCTCAATCCAGTGAAGTTTGCAACCAAGTTTAACCATCACACTAGTCAGTTAGTTGTATTGTAATATCATTCAGGGAAATCTGCTATCTAATTTCATAGTTCCTAGAGAGAAATTACTGGTATCTCCAAATAATAGGTCCAAAACAGAATACCTCATATCCATTGTATGATTTTTCTTATTTTATTGCTGAAAATTATCTTTATAATTGTGATTGGATTGATGATCAAAACAGCTTGTTCTTTTGAAAGCTCCATTTCTGGGCTGCCATGTATTTATAGAGCTATGCTGAAAGCTATGTTTTCTGAAAGTTGTGGAGTGAACATTTGGCCTTCTTTATAAAGTTTCCATCTAGTTCATAACCATTTCTCTTTACTCAAATAAAAAAATGAACACAAGTTCAAATTTTATGCAGATAAGAAAGAAGTGGTAAAAGTTGTAGTCTTCCAGGAAAGAAGAGAGACAATGTTTTCATTTCTTTGATTCACAAGTTATTTCAGGACCTTGTAGTATCTTTGCACTATAAATATTAACCTGATTTTGACTTATAGTAGAGCAACAGAGGTTGAAGTTAATGGTTTTCATAATTTTTAATATTCTTTCCTATTAAATGTTTCTTTTGCTGTTGTTGCCAATGTAGTTGGTTATGTTTACTTTTTCAAAAAGAAAACAAAACAAACAACAAATGTTAAAAAAATCCTCACATTCTAAAGTTGACTTAGCTCTAACATTGCCATGTGTAAAAATGGGGATTGCCTCATCTGATGCTTTAAAAATCTTTCAGGCATCAGAGTCAATAGGTCAAACCCAGTCCATATGTAGGAGACACTGCCACATGTAATTAGTTATAGTTGTGTGCTTTTCTATCCATATAGGTATAAAAATGACACATTTTTATTTTTATGTCCATTCCTTAGAAGTATGCTTTAGATAAGCCAAAATGGAAAAATGTAATTTATCTATACATTTCTCAATGTTCAGAAAGAAGAAGAAAATGACTCAGCAGTGTCCATTAACTTTGAACAGTCAAGTGAAAACTTTCATCAGGACCCAACACCACCTGAAGGAATTATACCTGAGCCTCTAGAACGTGATTTTACTAAACTGTCCTCACTTGATACTCAGGAGTTGGGTCTTAGTGCTGCCTCCAGAAGTGCCTCTGTCTATTCAACCACAAAAATATTAGAGTGCTCCATTTCCAGTGATACAGTGGAGAATTCTTCTTCACTGGTTGAGAAGGGAGAGTTGAATATAACAGAAAAGGCTCATCAAGGTGGAAGCAGTGAAGAGAACCAATTGCTGATCTCAGCTGAGCCAAGTAAGTACAAGAAGATTGTAAAGATAGTTAATTTCTGATATTTTACTCAGATCTTTTGCTTTTCTCAAATTTTGCTAAGGCAGTGAGCTGTTTGGGTCTTTGGGAAGTATATTAACTTTAGGAAAAATGTCCTGGAGTTTTGAGGGTTCCCTTATAAATCTTGTAATATTGGTTAAGGTAAGTAAGTGTAGTGCTTGGAAACAGTTTTGTGTGTGTGCATGTGTGTGTGTGTGTGTGTGTGTGTGTGTGTATTTTTTTTTTGTATTTTTGAGACAAGGTCTCCCTGTAGTCCCAGAAGGCCCGGAACTCACTATATAGACCAGGCTGGCCTCAATCTCACAGAGATCCACCTGTCTCTCCCTCCCAAATGCTGGGTTTAAAGGTATATGCCACCACACCTGGCAGAAACAGTTAAGTTTTTAAAAGTAGTTTACCACTACTAACTTAGTAGTTTTAAAAAAGATTCTCTGAAGACTTTTTATTGCGATGTTGTTGAAGAAGTTGAATTTAAGTGCAATTTGATTATTGCCATTAGTTTTGATTCAGTTAAATTTTTAAAAAATATTTTGTTTATTATTTTTATTTTATGTGTCTGAGTGTATTGCCTGCATGTATGTGAGTGCACCTGTGTCGTGCAATGCCGCGGAGGTCAGAAGAGGGCTTCGGATTCCCCTGGAACTGGAGTAAAGGATGGTTAGTAGCCACCATGTGGGTGCTGGGAATCGAACCCGGGTCCTCTGCAAGAGCAGTCAGTGCTCTTAACCGCTGAGCCATCTCTCCAGCCCCCGATTCAGTTAAATTTTAGTAGTTGATGTAGTCATGTGGTACAAAAAATTTAAAAAGCTCTATAGGCTTTACAGTGAGTTGTCTCTACATCTCCTAGCCATCCATTTCCCCCTTCCAGAAGAAACTGTGACAGACTTATGCCACAATATATTAGAAATTGTTCATAAGTTCTATTGCGGTAGCAAAGTACCTGAGATAATAAAAGATTGGGATGGGAACATAGCTCAGTAGCATAGCAATTGGTTAGCATTTCCAAGATCCTGGAGTTAACCTTCAGCCCGAAAGAAAGAGTAAAAGAATGATTCATTTTGGTTCAGAATTGAGGGAGAAGGGTGAAGATTTACTTTGGCTCCAACTTTTGTAGGCTTAGGTCCAAGATAGGTGGACCCTCTGATTTAGGGTTCTGGTGGATGTTCTAGATGGGCGGCAATGTCAAGGAGTATATAAATACATTATTAAAAAAATAAATAGAAACCAAAAAACAAAAAACCATGGAGAACAAAAAATTCAGTTGGTAGAAGAAAAAGCTTTATAAAACCCCAGCAATAAGCTGGGAGGTTAATCCCAGCACTCTGGAGGCAGAGGTAGTGGGATCTGTGTATTAGAAACCAATATGGTCTAAATAGCCAGTTTTAGGCTGGGGCTATAAGGAGACCCTATCTCAAAAAGTTTAAAAATAATAACAACAAAAACAGCATTGAGCCCAGAATGCTGGAAGAATGCCCACAGAGGAAACAGGGCAGGATGTAATGGAGTATGGGAAACATCACCTGAACTAAGCATACCCGACACCCAGCATCACCAGTCCTACTCCTAGAAACCCACAGATAATCTCTCATGGCCCCAAATAGCCAGTTGGGACCCTCAGCAGAGCCATGGGGAGCTGGCCCATTCAGGAAGTGTGAGTCTCCACCTGGATCCCAGAGGTCTGTAGGACACAGCAAGCATTGCACCCCCTCAACTCTTCCCCCATAGATTTGGAAATGTCCTAGGCACATCAGTCTTAGTCTGCAATGCCACCTCTTCTTTGCTACATACATGTCCCAGTAAACCAAAGAGTCCTAAGGGTTTCAGGATGAAAAGACCTGTGTCAAGTCAGGACAGCACTCAGTGTCTAGTGAGGATAGAGAAGCCTGGAACATCCAATGTTCCTGGGGCTATGTTGCAGGTAGAGCTTTTGCTGGGCCTGGGGCTGCATCTGGAGCTGCCCCTGGAGCTTTAGCTGCAGGTGCATCCACGTCTGGACCATTCTCTGAGGATGAGACAGTTATTGAGACTGCAGCTGCAGCTACTACAGATTGACCTGGGTCTGTAGGGCTTGCTGGTGGAAAGGGGCTAGTGGATGCTGCAATTGGTGCTTGGCTATCCCAGAGGCCACACAAGCACAGCCCCTGGACTGACCAGTCCTGTAGAAGATAGCTTCTAGGGCTGAGAAGATACCCAAAGGGTTGGGTTGAGGAAGGAGACTGACATCCGATGGACCCTGGTACACAGGATCTGCATCAACAGGGCCAGGAATGGGAGGTGTAGAGAATTTGCAGCTCCTCCCAGCACAGGCCAGATTCTGGGTGGGGAGTTATCACGAATTCTTGACCAGACCCAAATGTGATGCTCCTTCATGTTAATCCTTTCCACCAGTGACATGTCTTTATAGGTTGGGCAGGAACATTTTCTGAGAGATTCTTGAAGCTCCTGCTTCTGCTCTTGAGTATACAGTATTCATTCCTGCTTCTGCCTCTGGGGACCATTGGGGGCCCTTGGAGCCCTGGGGGCACTGGAGGACACAGGAGACCTGGGAACACTTGGAGAACTTGGAGACCTTAGAGGCCTTGGGAGATATGGGTAAATCTGGGTGAGGTGGGGCCCCTTGGAAACTTGAGTGAACTTCGTAGTTTGATGATTCTGGGGACATAGGGAGACCTGGCGGCACTAGGAAGCCTGAGGGGCCTGGAGGCAATTGGAAACCTGATTGCATTGGGGGGCCAGGGAACACAGGAGGGGTTCAATGCACTTGGGGATTTGGTGACTGTGAAAGAGCTTCCTGCATTGGCAAATCCCGGACATTGATAGGTTCCTGCATCTTGGCGTTGCTCTGTTCTGGGATTTTCCAGACCAGGCTTTTAACACCCAAATCTTTGAGGAACACTAAATACCCATAGTATAGCATATTTATGACTTTAGCCTTCTTTTTTTTTTTAGTTTTTTAAAAAACTTCAGTGAGAATTTCATACATGCATATAAAGTGTTTTGATCAAATCCACACCCATCTCCTCCCCTCCAACACCTCCCATATCTCCCCATCACTTTTTTCTGACCACTTTGTGTTTCTCTGTCTCTGTCTCTCTGTCTCTGTCTCTCTGTCTCTCTGTCTCTCTGTCTGTCTCTCTGTCTCTGTCTCTCTCCCCTTTTCTTTCTTTTTAATGGGGCTTTTTGCTACTCTAACATTCCCTCCTCTGAAGACGTAACCCTAAAATCTTTAGCGATCAGATAAGAGCTCCCAAACACTTTTGACATTTTTGGCCTTTGGAACAGAGTATGTTGCTAAGAGTCTGAAGGACATTTTAACTTTTAGCCAAGAAACTGGCTACTTTTCTTTGGAGTCTTTTTACCGTAACTGCCTAGCCAGTTCCTACCTCCTATTCTTATCACACAATTCTCTGAAGAGATTACCCAAATTGCTGATAGGGAATCAGGCATAGACTGCTCTGGCTTCTTCCATGCTGAACAGGGATGCAGGATAAGGCAATTTGAGTACCTCTTCAGTGGGTCTATCTAAAAGACTCCCAAACTGCAAAACTCTTATCTGTAGGGAGAAAAGAAGATCCTTGACTTGGTGAATAGGGGATATGAAGAAGTAAAGGCAAGAGTAGTTAGCATTACAAGTTCTAGACAGGGAACCACATAAAAGTCAGAATAGGACCAAGACTTTAGCCATCTTTAAATGTCTTTGAGGTGAGGTTGCAGATAATTACTGAATAATAATATTGATAAACACTGTGTATAACTACTACTAATCACTGTAAGGCAAAATAGGCTAGATATTATGTAGATGATTAAGTTTAATGTGATTCTTAAAGATAATTAGAAAGTTATTTTTCATAGGTGATTATTGTGATACATTTAAAATACATTTTCCTTTTTAGTTGTTGTTTCCAGTGATGAAGAAGGACCCATTGAACATAAGAATTCAGGAATTCTTAAGTTACAACCTAGTCAAGACTACAAGATTGCTAATGAAAACAAGGGCATTTCAGAATCACAGTTGTCAGAACTACCATTGGCTACCTGCGAATCTGTACAGGTAATTTCTTTCTTTCTTTTTTTTTCTTTTTTTCTCATAGAGTGACAGTAAAATACTCTTTTTGAAAACATTTTTCCTTTTTTGATTGTCAAACTTTTTATTACATTTATGTATTTTTATGTATGCCATGGCAATAAAGTGGAGGTCAGAGGACAACATAAGGGAGTAATTCTTCCGCCCTGTGGGTCCCATGGCTAGAACTCAGATTGTCAGGCTTGGTGGCAAGTGCCTTTACCTGCTGAGCCATCTTGCCTGCCCCCAGTGAAATATTCTTATTGACTAAAACTATTATTTGTTTTACAGAATATTATGATAAAGGTTATGCAGTTCCTTAGTTTGAATTTTGCAACAACTTTCATACTAGTTTTAGTGACAAATTTTTCAGTCTAAATAGTCTATGACTTGAATATTTTCTTTTTTATGGTTCTCATTGGACATATCACTATTTTCTCAAAATACTTTCTTTTTAAAAAATATTTCTTTTTATGTGTATAAGTGTTTTTCCTGCATGTATGTATATGCACCACCTCTGTGCCTGGTCCCAGTGGTGGCCAGAAGAGGGCATCAGTTTCCCTGAAACTGGAATTAACAGTTGTGAGCTGTCATGTGGATGCTGGGAACCCAACCTGCGTCCTCTGAAAGAGCAGCCAGTGCTCTTAACCACTGAGCAATCTCTTCAGCCCCCAAACATTTTCTAGAATAATTTCCATATTTGGCATACTGTGGCTATTTGGAATTATTTCTTATTTTTACATAAGGTTGACTAGCCTCAAACAGAATCTATAATAAAACATATACATTTGATATAACAGAGGATTCTCATGCACTTAAATCACTCTTCTTTAAACAATTTTATTTGTTTGTGTGTGTGTGTGTGTGTGTGTGTGTGTGTGTGTGTGTGTGTAGCACTTATGTGGAGGTCTGAGGACAACTTGTAGGATTTGCTTCTCTCCTTCCATGTGGATTCCAGGGATCAGTTGGAACTCAGGTCATCAGGCTTGATAGCAAGTACTCTTTACCCACTGAGCCATCTTCCTCCCCAACCACTTGGGGTGGGGGGTAACCTGGGAAGAATGGGGGGGTGAATATGATCAAAATACATTGTATGTGTGTATGAAATTCTCAAAGGATTAATAAAAAATTTACTGTTAATGTGTCATGCAGAAGGAGGTGTGGAACTGTTCACTGCATTTGAGGGCTCTAAGTGTAGTATTTGGCAGAGTTGCCTTCTGCCTGCCTGTTCAAAGTTTCAATCTGTTTTCATATAATATTGTATACATTATATTAAAAATTTTCAGTCTATAAAACAGCCTTACTCTGAAAACTCTTCAGATACTCTTGTGCTGTGCAGCAGTGACTGTGTGTAAATGCTATACACTGAGGATACACAAAAATATGATGCCTGCAGGATAATGCCTCATATCAATCAGATGCCCATTTGTTACTGTGTTTGTTAACAACCCTTTCTTTATCTCTTATTGTTATAAATGCCACCTGAAATTGATTAAAATCTCATTCCTATCATTGAAAAATATTATATTAAAAATGTGATAGCAAGAACAATATCTTGGTTAATGGAAACATTTTTATTTATTTGAATACTTGACCTGAATAGATAAACCTGACTTTAGACCTCAGTTTTGCTTCTTACTGAATTCAGGCAAGTTACTTAACCACTCTAAACTTTTGTTAACTGTATTTGTGAAATGGCGGGGGGTGGTGGTAATATTTGATCAGTGATCATGGCGATAATAAGAACTAAAATACTTAAAAATTTAAATTAAAGCACTATATAAATATAAACTTATTTTTATTTATTGAAAAACAAACCAGCTAGGGAATATTGAGTAGAAAATAATAGCCTTGATACAGAAGAGAATATAATATGGAGGTTGGTCCTGTCAGATTAATTATGGATTTGGATTTTTAATTTTCTCAAAGTAAATCCTGTAACTCTTTAGACAAAAGATCTTGAAGGGTTGGGGATATGACTCAATGGTTGAGTGCTGGCTGTTCTTACAGAGAACCCAGGTTTGAGTCCCAGCATCCACATGGCAGCTAACAACTGTCCTAACTCTGGTTCTAGGGGATCTGAAGCCCTTTTCTGTCTTCTGAGGGCATTGCACAGTATGGGTGTACTTGTATGCATGTGGGCAGTACACTCATACACATTAATTAATTAATTAATTAAAAAGAAAGAAATCTTGATAACCATTTTTTCACACTAAGAATGGTGTGATATCCCCCCCATAAGAAAACTAATAACAACAAAAACAAAACAGAAGAGGAAAAAAAGTCAGGTGTGGTGGTGTACACTTTTAATCCTAGCACGTGGGAGGCAGATGCAGGTGAATCTCTGTGAGTTCGAGGCCAGCCTGGTCTACATAGTGAGTTCCAGGCCAGCTGGGGCTACCGGAAGATCCTGTCTCAAAAAGACCAAACAAAACAAAACAAAACACAAAAAGAATGGTGTGATATTCTTAAAGTCTTTAATCATAATTTACAGAATTTTGACTTTGAAAATAATTTTTTGCTTTTTTATACTACTTAGGGCTATATGCATTTATAATTTATTTCTTATTAGGTATCACCAGAGTTGTGTCCATATAATCCTGTCATGGAAAACATTTCCTCTATTAAACCTAATAGTGAGATGGATCTGAGACTGGATTTTATGTTTACTTCTGTGTATATTGGTAAAATAAAAGGAGCTTCTAAAGGTTGTGTCACAGTAAGTATTTTTAATTTTTGTTTCAGTTTTGGATCTTGGACAGTTTTATATTTTGTATGTGCTTATATGCAAATAAAAGTAGACTTGAGAGCTGGATGTAGTGGCACAAGTCTTTGCTCCCAGCACTTGGGAGGCTGAGGCCGGCAGATCTTTGTGAAATCAGGTTCAGGGCTAGCCTGGTCATAGTGCCTTCCAGGTCAGCTGGGGCTACAGGGAGACCTTGTCTCAGAAAGAAAAAGGAAAAAAAAAAGTATACCTGAGATTAATTTTATTATGGGATACTTGGGATGTGTAGAAAGACATTAGACCCATTTTGAATTGTATCTTTATTTCCCCTCTTCCTAAAATCCTCTCTTACCTGTTTCCTAACCATTTGTTTACTCACGTTAGGATGGGGGTGGGGTGGGGGGAAGAACAGTGATTTGAGGGCAAGTTATTGGAATAAGGAAAAATCAAAGCAGACTGGAGGCTATCACCAACAAAGACCATTTTGGGGTGGAATTTAGGGGCATAAAAGGTTTTTTCAGGGAGAGAAAGAAAGAGCAGGAGGCGTTGAGCATGAAGACTAATCTAGAGAGGTGTCTTCATTGTCTAGGACCTGTGTTCTCTTGTGCTAGAAGATTGTTCAGGTAATGATTAATATTTATGACTCAGCAGTCCCAGTATTCTTTATTTTACTCTTTATTTTGTTTTCCTGCAAGCTAAATATTATTTTGCTTTTAATCAAAGAACAAGAGTACAAAATCTTTGGCCCACATTTTAATGTTATCTGAAAACCATCAGGTATCTTGGGTTCTGGAAAATCTAGAGAAAATTGTTGATTAGTAAGTTTTATGACTCTTTAGTTTCTTTTTTCAGGAATAGCTAATCTTGCAGTTGATTACTAAATAACAAAAGGTATTCCCCAGAGAACGCGGTGGGGTGGGGGGGAACTTCAGCCAGAGGTGTCATTTGCAGCCAAGCCAGTGAGAGACTAATAAACTGTTAATTGACCTCTAAAATTAGTGATTGTTAAAGTCAACTAAAAGTAGATAAGCTATTTTGGCAAAAATAATGTATGAAAAAGTCACATGTATCAATTTTCTTTATGCTCTAAAGATTTTTAGGGTATAATTTAGGGCAATCAAGAAACCTCATTTTGCTGGTTTAGATTTTTTAAATTTATTATTTTTTTAAAAAAAGTTTTGTTTATTTACTTTTGGATTTATGTACTAATTTGGGAGCAGGGGCACATATATGCTATTCCATAAGTAAGTAGGGAGATCAGAAGACAACTTTCAGGAGTCAGTTCTTTCTTTCTACCATGTGGGTGTCGGGGATCAAACTCGTGTTGTCAGGCTTGATGGAAAGCACCTTTACCTGCTGAGCCATCTTGCCTACCCTTATTTATTATTTTTATTTTTTGTGTATTAGCATATTGGTTGCATGCGTGTAAGTGCATCTGGGTTGTTCAGTGCCTGTGGAGGTCAGAAGAGGGCATTGGATCCCCTGGAACTGGAGTTAAGATGGCTGTTAGCCACCATGTGGGTGCTGGGAATTGAACCTGGGTTCAGTCAGTGCTCTTAACCGCTGAGCTGTCTCTGCAGCCCAGTGCTGGTTTAGATTTTTATAAATTTTCCCAGATTCCTAAATTTTTAAAAGCCTATGCATTCTAATCTGTGTTCCTCAAATACTCTTGGTATTTGTCTTTCTCTTGGAGTCTGGTCAACCTATCAGGTACCAAATCACTAAAGAAAACTGACTCTCTCCCAGAAGCTATCAGTTGCCAGTAGAACCTGAGTTAGGGCTGGGACTTCTTGCCTGATTCCCACATCAATGCTGGGTTTTTATCTGGCCTGGGCTTATAAAGGTTCTATTCATTCTATCATAAGTACTGTGGGATCATATGTGCAACTACCCTGTGGTCTCCAGACAACAGTTTCCTCTTATCATCTGTGACCTCTTGTTCTTAAATCTTTCCACTTCCTCTTCCATAATGGTCCCTGAGCCTTGGGAGGAGAGAGTGTGATAATAGGTGTCCCATTTAGGGCTGAGCACACTGTAGTCTCTTATTCTCTGCAAGTTGACCAGTTATTAGGTTTCTGTGTTAATCACCATCTGCGATAAGAAGAAGCTTCTCTAGTGAGAGTTGAGAAATTCACTGATCTGTGGGTATAACAATAAGTCATTAGAAGTCAATTTAATACTATGTTTAGCAGAATAGTAGTAGGTTCTCAGTTGGGCATGGTGGTGTACGCCTTTAGTCCCAGCACTCAGGAGGCAGAGGCAGATGGATCTCTGTGAGTTCCAAGCCAGCCTGGTTTACATAAAAATGATTTAAAAAAATAGTAGTAGGTTCTTCCTTATGGCCTGTGACCTTTCTAGTCACAGGTTCTTAACCGTGATACCTATCAGGTATGGGCTCCATCTTGTGAAGCAAGCCTTAAATCTAATCAGAAGGTGGTTACTGACTTCCATAACATTTGTGCCACTACTATACCAGTGGGCATTCCTTGCCAGGCCAGTTGTTATATAGTAGCTCACAGGATTCAGAGCTGGGTAAGGGTGATGATTACTTTTCTTATAGCATGCCATAGCATCTTCTAGTACCATGAAAGGTATCCAGTTGAGATGAAGTTTTGAGATCAATATCAACTTGATTTCTCCTTGTTTGTTCTCTGATTTACATATGTAGTTTCTTCAGCAGTAGGATCTTATTGTCAAGCTCTGGTGGATAACCAGGAGCAAGGACAATGGCAAGTATAGTATTGTTTAAGTTTCTGTGAGATCTCTCTGGTCAACAACTCCAAAAGAGGTAGTCCATTTCTGGCATTCAGCTTTTTATTTATTGGCCTATTTTGTCTAATAGGGTTGCTGAACCCCTGTTATAGGGTAATCTATCTATCTATCTATCTATCTATCTATCTATCTATCTATCAACATCTACCTATCTAATCTCTATCTCTCTATCTCTATC